CACACACACACACACACACACACACAGGCTGGATACCCATGCTTCACAACGACACTATGTGATCGGGTAATGCAGGAAAAATCTGGTTCATTCTGTTGGCTGAGTGGTGGTCGGTGATTGAGCCTTGAGTCCAGAAGCAGTTCCATAGTGGAAGGCGAGGTACCGACATTTAGTACTGTGAGGAGCCCCAGACTGCTCCTGAGTGAAGGAGTGGAACGTCTGCCAATTTGAACTGAGGTAACGGAATGTGAGGCAACTGGCAGTTGGAACAGAGTTATTTTCAGGTGGGGAGAGGGAGTAGAATTCCTTAGCATCAGAGCGTGTTAATTACTGTATAAGAATTAATGATCTGATGGTCATTTCAAAAAATCCTTCCTTAGCAAGTACCTAGAAGCGAAGAGGAACATATGTGCCAAATTTCAAGTTTGTAGGCTTTACAGTTCTGGAGATTTCATGATGAGTGAGTGGTATTTGGCTTTTATTTATATAGATAACTCAAAACAGTGAACATACCTAACACTCCTATTTTCCCCAAAACAACAACCCTTTGAGGTGGGTTGGTCTGAGAAAGTGCCACTGGCTCAAAATCACCAAAAATCACTGTTAGACATGGCTACAACTTTTTTTATGGGTGTGTCACTCACAATGATCTATAAAATTCATCCAATTATGTTTCAAGTTCTTATGCAATAGCAGAAAATGGATAAGCCCACTGCCCAAGTGAAGTATACAAGGAAACACAATCATGGTGTGAGCGGAGGAATTAAAAGGAATTAAAAATCAAAAATTTGAGTTATGCTTAAAGACATTTCATGTTCTCCATTAACTACTGCTTTCAACCCAGGATAAATACTAAACTTTAAAATGCTAAGCTAAATAAAATCAATGAAATAATGTAACACACATTATTAACTTATTAAAACAATTAACTTATCAACTTAACAACTTATTAAGACAATTAACTTAATAACTTATTGACAAAGGCTGGCTTTTTCACAACTCGCAACAAACCATCCTAAGTTTGCAAGTTCAAGTACTCAGTCTATATATAACATTTTCTCTGCAGACACTTAACTCCACCCCCTCAGCCTTCCACATCTTTGCCACGCCTCCTCTCCCTTCACTCAACTCGGCTAAGCCCCTCCCCTTCTTCTTTTCTCCAATCAACGATGTACACGGGTAGGAGAACCTCACAAACAGTTAGCTGCCCTCCCAATAGCCCGGTAGAAGAATTCGAATTAACATCCCCGCAATCAGTTCAGAAAGGTTTCTCATTCGTTCCTTTTCCATCAGACTTCTGTGAGGGTGTTTTTAAAAAATCGTACCTCACCGCTCTGAGGACATTACCAAAGGATAATAGTTCAGGCAATAGAGTAAGACATCAAAATGGAAAATGGGAAGGCCGGCCTTGGGCTTCCCGTTGCATTCTGGGACGGGTAGTTCCCCGAAGCTTCAGCGCTCATCTTGGAGGGGCGCGAGTGCGCCGGGGAGGAGACTACAACTCCCAGGTGCCTGCTAGGCCCAAACTGTGGCTCTGAGCAGCCCCAGGGAATGGGACTAGGCTTTGAGAGGCGCGGAAGGCGGCAAGCGCGACGTCCGCGGCGGTGGCACCTGCTCGACCGCGGCTGGCTGGATCAGAAGGCGGGGAAGCGGGGCTGGCGCCGTCTTGGTTAGGGGCACCGAGTAGAAGTTCCGACCCTAGGTTGCCTTCCCTTGTTGCAGGTGGAAGAGGAAGAAGAGGAGGAGGAGGAGGAGGAGGAAGGGGGAGAAAGGTGAGCGGAGCAGGTGGCTGGCTGGGGATGGTGAAGGGTCGGGGGTGCTTTGAGCCGGGATGATGATGGTGGTGGTGGGAGATCTGCCTCCTTTTGCGGGAAGCCTGGTCTGAGCTCTCCTTGGTTGTCCTGCCCAATCTCAACCTGCCTTAGGTGGGAGTCTTTGGGACGGGATGGGCAGCGGTCCATGGGATACTTGGCTGGGGATACAGATGCAGACAGGGGCGCCAAGAGGATTATTAAGGGCTGGAACAAAACTAGCCCCTTCACCTACACCTGGACACTTAAGTCAATAACGTCTTAATTGTAGATTTACAATGCACAGCGTTTCTGAGCTCCAGATTTTTGAGATGACGTTTCATAACCATTCATAAACTGAAATGAAATATAAAATCCATTCATAAACGAAATAAAACCAAACAAACTTAAAGAAATGAAAT